CTTTGCCAAGTTCAATCAAATACACTGAATGGTTTTCGAATTCAGCCCCGGAAACGAACCCCATCCCAAATTGAGTCTATGTCCAACTTCATTCCATAATAATTGAAAAAAAATAAAATTAGAAAAATCCCAAAATATCAAAAGGCACCACTTCAGTATGTGCCTGATAGCTTTGCCAAGTTTCGATCAAATACACTGAATGGTTTTTGAATTCTGCCCCGGAAACGAACCCCATCCCAAATTGAGTCTATGTCCAACTTCATTCCATAATAATTGAAAAAAATTAAAATTAGAAAAATCCCAAAATATCAAAAGGCACCACTTCAGTATGTGCCTGATAGCTTTGCCAAGTTTCGATCAAATACACTGAATGGTTTTCGAATTCTCCCCCAGAAACGAACCCCATCCCCGATTGAGTCTATGTCCAACTTCATTCCATAATAATTGAAAAAAATTAAAATTAGAAAAATCCCAAAATATCAAAAGGCACCACTTCAGTATGTGCCTGATAGCTTTGCCAAGTTTCGATCAAATACACTGAATGGTTTTCGAATTCAGCCCCGGAAACGAACCCCATCCCAAATTGAGTCTATGTCCAACTTCATTCCATAATAATTGAAAAAAATTAAAATTAGAAAAATCCCAAAATATCAAAAGGCACCACTTCAGTATGTGCCTGATAGTTTTGCCAAGTTTCGATCAAATACACTGAATGGTTTTCGAATTTTGCCCCGGAAAAGGAAATGATTACGGACGGACAGACGGACGGACAGACAGACAGACTGGCTGATCGCTTTATCCCCCCGCATTATATGCCGGGGGCATAAAAACTGTTGACACCTTATTGACACAGAAATGGTAGACCAGCAAGCTGCAAAATCAACAGCCCCTTGTAATCCAAACCAAATGACATTTTACAACCATGCTAAGATTTATGTATTTTTCAGAGAAACATTGTGTGCGGGATCCTACGAGCGGGTGGCGGTACCAACTGAAAAAGGAAGGACAATCCTGTTTGTTGCAGAGGTAAGGTTTAAACCTCATCGTCCCCTTTTTAATTACATGTACAAGAAGAATGAAAATACTTATATTGTTATGTATATCTGATATAATTCAGGCACAAATACTTGTTTTTATATTTTATATTATTTCATATAATTTATATTTAAGATGCTGACAGCGGGATCCGCAACTCACCCTTGAAGTTTCATAACTAAGACAACATGCATCGGGACACAGGTATCCAGATGTGGCAGACATTAAGAAGATTTTCAAAAGCGACATTATTACCACACTGGACACGCCAAGGACTATTCAGTTAGGCAGTCAATGCTTTTTTGCAATTTTGTACATTTTTTTGCATGACAACATAGATGTCCGTCCATGATGTTATAGAATATGGTGGTAGGTTTGTACATATAATTGAGTATAAATATATAAATTGAGTAGATATAGGTCTTCAGCAACCCATGCAAGGATATACACAACCGTCACATCAGGTCGACGTACCCGGGCGTGTAGTATCTGCCACAGTCTCACACACACGTCGGAGTTCTGCTTCTTGACGAGCAAGAAGGACACAACACTCCACCCATACACACACAATCACGACTCACCTGGACGACCACGCAATATCATTGAGGGAGACGAAGTGTGCAACAACTTTAACGACAGAGGTTGCAAAAGGGACGCCTGCATCTTCTCCCACAAATGCATCAACAGCCGTCAAGCAGGGCATTGCCAAATGGGTTGCCCTAAAACTACTTTCCGTAAAGAGAAGAGAAAGTGACTGGTAGCGTCCACGCCTATAGATACGAGGCACTTGCAGAAGGAATTACAAGGACACCCCGACAGATCGTTTGTGAACACTTTAATTATGGGACTGCAAGACGGCTTCCATCCACTCATTGAACCGTTCCCATGACCAAATTAGAATGTAAAAACAATTTCAGTGCCAGGAAACAACCGGACATGGTTACAGCAGCTGTTCAAAAGGAAGTAACCAATCTCTTTGTATCGGGTCCTTGGGGTGCACCCCCATTCAGGGGGTTCAGAGTGAGTCCCCAACACGAATCTCATTTGAAAAAACACCCATAACACCCAAAACATAGTGTTAAGCCAAAGCTGGAAATGGCAACTTACCAGCACACCAGGTCTTAAAGGTCGGGACATTGCGTACTTGAAATCAGATCAGAACAAGGTTTGCTCTGGTTCATGGTATCTTGTCACCAATGTTGATGGCCCATGGTGCGATGTATGCAAGTTTGTTGGAACACAACAGCGAGACACTGCATATCGTGTCCAGTCTTCAGATGTCTATCATATCTCGCCAAACCCTGCAATTTTTTACTATTATAAATGTCAATGAATCTCCAACCATTGGTTTAATCTCAGTTTTACTCCTGTAGAGAAGGAGAAAAGGATGTCACGCCAACATTGTTTGTGGTTGTTATAATGGCAACTTACCGGAGTTATCTCCCTTATTTACTGCGGCACAAATGATGCAAAACGTAAACAGTTGGACAAACATAGACAAACTGTGATTGAACTAGCTACATTGTATGGGGGCACCACCGCGCACTAAGACTATCATAAGTTGTTTGCTGCCAGAGTGGCTTCTTATGCGGAGCAAGGATGCAGCAGTCGATGGGACATGAGGGACACACATTTGTACGGGCTGTGTTCTTCAGGTCGACGTTCTAGATCGTGTACCATGTGCTACAGCATCACCCATGGTACAGACTTGTGTCCCAAGCGACGTACCAATAAAATTAGGTCTAACCTGTTCTTGGACAGAACTGTCATCTCCGATAGGCAGGGTATGACAGACAGAAACAACACCAGGGGACGGCCTCGAGTTAAGTCGAACCGACGTGAGGTCTGTTATAATTTCAACCACCAGGGCTGTGCAAGACCGAACTGTGTGTACCTTCATGTGTGTCTCAATTGTTATGCCTAGAACCACGGACAGGTTAATTGTGTGATGTCTCCCAATTCTAGACGGAATACTCAATGTTATAAAGTGATAGCTTATGGTTATGTGGCCTCCACTGGCAGTTTGGGGATATTTTACCAGGGCTTCAATTACTTATTCATGCTATTCCTTGCTTAAGTATTAACCCTTTCTAAATCCATTTTTATTTTATTCCACTTTTTATAGATCCAAGATGTCAGCAACCATGTAAAACCACATGTATTGATCCAATATTTGTGAACCAGATTTGAGCCATATAAATTGACTTTTGCACCTGAAATGACTTGTTTTCAACTGTTATTAAAACTTTCCAAGGGACCACGCAACAATCCTCATGGATGACAGACTGTGCTCTGTGGCAGAATAACTTCCAGTGGTTGCATCAAGAAATGCCAAAGATACAACAGTGAATTCATTCATCCACCAAGGGCACCATTGGACATGGCAGTGAGACATCAAGAGTTGAGACAGTTGTCCAGACAGAGGACAAATCAGCAACAGGCATTTGGGACTAATAGACCTTAGTGTCAATTGTGAAGAGCTTCCAAAAACAAGGCACGTGACTGCCTGTCCTTATCTCATGGCCAGTGACCTCAGGAGTAAATTGCAGGACTTAGGCGTAAAGTTCTGACTTCCTGGAGCAGAAAGACGCTGCATCAGCTGTATGCAGAAAATACGCTTTTGTCTCACAGACGACGAAATGTGTGATCCTGTCCCACTTTCACTGTGACGTCATCATAACCTTATCCAATCGACTCCACGGCCGCGATGCCACGACTGAAGAGATATTAGGAAGGACAGTATTTGAGGTCACCAAAAATGATGACAAACCTGGATTATCTGTCGAAGATCACGAATTTCTTCAAATCATGGACCAGGAAATGTATAGAGGCACAAGTGGAGACTGGGTCCCACCACTTCCATTCAAGTCCCCAAGACCACTCCTTCCTAACTGTTGTGTATTGTATAAAAGATATAATACCATGACCAGTATCGATCCACAGACTCTGTACTTTATCAGTGCCAATACTTGCATTCGAATTACCTCCCTTGTTTGTTCTCTTTAATACGAGATTGTTATGTAAAATAAAACCGAATGGTTTTTCATCCGCCAGTGATTTGGGTTAGTTATTTGGAAACTAAATGTATACGCCAGTGAAAACGTAACAATTTGGCGACGACGATTGTTTTTGTTCACGCCACTAGTGACAAACGAACTTTTAGCTATAACGGCAGCCATTGGAAACATTGAAGCGTTTGATGAGGTGAACGGCACATGGGATGTGTTTGCTGAACGCATGGACGCGTATTTGAAGGCGAATGCAGTTGAGGAAAACTTACTTGTGAGTTCATTTCTGGCTGTAATTGGAAACAGAACTTATACTTTACTCTGAAGTCTTGTATCACCGGCGAAACCGGCAGATAAATCTTTGGAGGAATTGACGAATGTTTTAAAGGAACACTACAGTCCGAGACCTGTTGTAATTTCTCAGAGACATGATTTAGAAACCGGCTCCAAGAAACAAGTGAAACTATCGCAGAATATGTTGCTGCACTTCGTGAGTTGAGTGAATATTGTGATTTTGGGACAAATCTGAATGACCAATTACATGATCAGTTAACTTGTGGTCTCAGATCGGATTCTATACAAAAGAGACTTTTGTCAGAAGATGCGTTGACACTGGAAAAAACATTGAAGATTTCAGTTTCCCTTGAGACAGCTACCAAAGACACTCAAGAATTACACAACAAGGTAACATCAAGTAAACAAGTTATCAGTAAAGAAGAAAACTTTCCACAGAGATAAGCATGACAAGAGTCACACATATCCACGCTGTAGTCACTGCTCCAAGACAAATCATCATGCTAATGACTGTTGGTTCAAAGACATTGAATGTTACAAATGTGGCAAACCTGGACACATTAAAGCTATCTGTAGATCTAAACCATTAAGATCAGATGGGAGGAAGAAACAAGGTTATGACAAACACAGGTTCATCATCTAGATGAAGAACAAGGTGACGATATGAATGAACTTCCTCTTTTCTATGTGAAATGTCACGACCTCGACAACATTTGGGTGTATTCGAAAATCCACAACAGAGAACTGAAGATGGAGCTCGATACAGGATCAGCCTTATCGATCATATCAACCAAAGAATATAAATCTAGATTCAGTGATCTCAACCTGAACAAAACTGATGTTGTTCTAAAGACTTATACAGGTCAACCAGTTAAACCTGAAGGGGAGTTAGGGGAGTTAGACGTTATCGTCGAATATCAAGGTCAGAGGGAGGACTTAGAGTTGTATGTGGTTGATGGTCCAGGGCCGTCTTTACTGGGAAGATCTTGGTTACGCAAGATACAGCTTGACTGGCCATCGATTAAAAAGTTAACAGCCGTACCCAGAGAAACTAAAGGCGAGTTACAGGACATTTTACAAGCTCATGCACTAGTGTTTCGCAAGGAGCTTGGAACAGTGAAAAATGTTAAAGCAAAGATTGAAGTAGAAGATGGAGTGACGCCAAAGTTTGTTAAAGCACGACCAGTCTCCTATTCTCTATGCCCAAAAGTGGATGAAGAAATTGACAGGCTGGTACGGGAGAAAATCATTGAACCTGTTGACTTTAGTGACTGGGCAATGCCAATAGTTCCGTGGTTAAGAAGAATGGTAAAATAAGACTTTGTGGAGATTTCAGAGTCCAGAGTTACCAGTTAGCATGTGATGCCTCTACATATGGGGTTGGTGCAGTGTTATCGCATGTCACCAGGAATGGAGAAAAACCAATCGCCTTCACCTCCAGAACATTAACGAGCACAGAGCTCAACTATGCTCAAATCGACAAGGAGGCTTTGGCCCTGACATTCAGTGTGAAGAAGTTCTCACAGTACCTCATTGGTAAGAAATTCACACTTGTTACAGATCATCACCCTCTCACTAAGATATTCGGACCAAAGACTGGTATTCCAACGTTAGCGGCAGCTAGACTACAACGTTGGGCAATTCTGTTGTCAGCATATGACTACAACATAGAATACAGGACATCCCAAACACCAGCCTTCTACAATTATCATGTGATGTTCTCTCAATGAGTAGCAGCATACATTGAGCATGGCAAAGCTATTGATTGGAGCGTGCATGATCAAAACATTTGGACAATTTGGATCCACGCAATTGGGATTGATGACATGCATCAACCAAGTCAGCGAGCCTGACCACCCGATCCCGTTAGTCGCCTTTTATGGCAAGCATAGTCACCTTTTATGGCAAGCATGGGTTGCTGAAGACCTATTCTATCCCGGATCTTCACGGGTCGAAAGATGTATGGGATGCAATTGAAAGCGTTAAGTCAAGTAACCCTGCTGATTTGACTGCTGTAATTGATGGAGAAAGCTACAGGGCACTTTGTGAAGAAGGCATGTTCCTTGCACATCCACACAATATAAGCACAGTATTTAATACTGATGGAATTCCCCTCTACAACTCATCTAAGGTGAAGCTATGGCCAATATTTTTGGCCGTCAATGAATTGCCACCATCTCTTGAGATTGGAAGGGAAAATATCCTGATAGCAGAAATTTGGCAAGGCAAAGGTAATCCACCTTTGAACAATATATGTGTGCACTTGGCGAGGAAATGTGTACCTTGTATGAGAATGGCAAATCAATCCAGCTTTCACCTGCTCGTGATCATCCCTTTGTTGTGAAAATGGCAGTTTTACTTGCAACAATGGATCTTCAAGCCAAAGCATATGTTTTAAATATGACAATGCACAATGCACAATGGAAGCTTTGGATGCAGTACGTGTGAGGAAGAAGGGGAAAGTGTGACTCAAGGAAGACGGTATGCTCGCCATTACCCCTACAAACCTTATTCTGAAAGACCTGATAGTAGAAAATCTGATGATATCAAATATCACAAGGGACCACAAGCAACAAAGACCAATCGTCTTAAAGGTATTTGTGGCATGACAGGCCTGTCATCTATGCCGTGGTTTGATGTTGTCCTTGGAGTAGTACCCAATTACATGCATGGAGTCCCTTTGGGAGTTACCAAGATGTTATACATGTGGTTGTCACCAACAAGTAATGGTGAACCATATCTTGTAGGAAAAAAACAGAACTACTGCCAACAGGTTGAAAAATATTTGCCCACCAGATTATGTGGACCGCTTGCCAAGAGACCTGGAAAAGAATTATAACCATCTGAAAGCAACAGAACTCCAGGCATGGTTGCTTTTTTATTCAATTCCATGCTTAAATGGTTTATTGGATACTGTATACTTGGAACACTTCGCTCATCTGTTTGAGGGAATACACATTCTCCTTGGAGTGGGTGAGTGAGTTGGGATTAACGCTGCTTTTAACATTATTCCAGTCATATCACGGCGTGTCAGCTTAATGTGGGTGGAAAGCCCGAAGTGATGCAGGTCTTAGACATTTAGACACCACTTAGACATCACTTCGGTGAAACCCACGAGCACGGGTATGGTGCTGACAAACCTAGAAACATAATCAGGGCGAACTGGGATTCGAACCCACAATCATAGGTTTCTGGCGTGACAAAGGGACGCAACTCTGCACAGAGAATTGCGGCGCCTTAGACGACTGGGCCACCCGTGCCCCCATTCTCCTTGGAGATGGGATAAGTGAGGTCGATCTTGACAGGGCTGAGACATTGCTTGACCATTTTTACTCCAAGTTTGGAGAACTCTATGGAGAAGGTAGCTGTGGCTTGAATGTTCCCAATAATTGTGTTCATCTTGTGACCTTTGTAAGGAAATGGGGACCGTTGTGGGGATGGAGTTGTTTCCCATTTGAGGACATGAATGCTGACATTTTGAAAGCTGTCCATGGTACAGGAGATGTTACCAGTCAATATCTTCGCCTGAAAGAACTAAGAATGAAAATGTCTAATATCAGTCTGGAGGGAGTTAATGAAAAGACGTCAGATTTCATTCACAGTATGAAATCAGGAAATAACAAGTGTTGGAGAGGATTAAAGAAAATGAAGAACTGCCATAAAGCAGGACAGCCAAAACCTGTAACCAGCGTACCATGCACAGATAGAGAGATTCTGCTACGTCACAAATGCTTCCGGTGCACTTGAGATTGCGCAGAGCGATCGAGGGTCAGTGCGCCATTAACTTTCGAGTGTTGTGATTGTTTTTCGCTGTCAGGTACTTATTTTGACTAAAAGTTCTTAGAATTACTTGTACTTGCCCTCTAAGTGATTGGTTATGGTTGCGACTATAACTATACTCAACTAGCTGTTTTATTGGGCGTGAGGTCAGCGTGCCTGACCTATTATAGACATAAACTTTGACCAGTGTTGACTCGAGCAGTCCAGGAAATTAGGTCAATATGGCCGACATGCAGCCCACTACAAGTATGCCCAGGGGCAGTCGGAGTCCTGACCCTAGAGGGGTCAAGTGTAAAGAACGTGAATCGGTTCAAACGGACTTGAAGAAACTGTATTATTATGAAGGCTGTGATGAGGTGTCGGACCATGCTTACGCATCTCGGCCTGGCCCTTCTCGACATTTCCCATACCGTCCATCGGCGACACAGTCACGTGACACGACGACCTTGCCAGATCAACTCTTGGGAGCCTTCACTAGTGCCTTAAGGGACTTAAAATCGTCAATCTGTGACGGGTTTGCAGGCCTGAAACAATCGTGGACAGATTCCACAGAACCCTCATTTGACTTCTGTGATGAGAACAGTGTTTGTGATGATATTCCTGTGACTCGGGATCAAGCAGCAGAATTAGTTGCTCAATTTTGTGGTAGGTCAAATGAGACCCCTGTCACCCAAACCAGTGACCAGCCCCCACAGACATAGAACTGTGGTGTTTTTCAGGCACTTCACAATGATCTTATCAATAAGGAGCAGACAGCCCCTCCTGTAAATACCTTACTTGCTGGTATTGTTGATGACCTTCTCTTCAAGAAAGATAAGCCGGAGGATGGTCGCATTAAAACCAAAATGGAAGCAGTTTTGAGACCAACTGTGTGTCTTTGGTCAAAACTCGGGTGGATGACCTGGTGTGGACACTTATGAAACCGGCTACACAAGTTCGATACAAGAAACTTCAACGTACACAGTACACAGTGGATGCTAATCAAGACCATCACCTTGATGACGTCCACTATAAACTTGATGTTTTAAAAAACAAACTATCCAAAGAACATCAACCAGCTTTGATTGATTCGATGAAAGAGGGGGTTGCTGCAATAGAAATGGCCAGTTTTGCCAATTTTGACTTGAACATGCGTCGCTGAGACGTGATAAAGCTGGATATTGCCAGCAGTTACTACCCCTTGTTTGCCTCCTCAGTGCCAATAAATGCACACTTGTTTGGAGGTGACACAGCTAAGAGATTGGAGGACATTGAAAAAAGCAACAAGGGAGCAGCTAAGGCATGGCCTTTTCAATCCAGCTCAACTAGGATGCCATCATACCGTGGTGGATATGCCAATCGAGGCAGAGGCCGCTACGCCCAGCATCGTAACCATGGTAACAGACCCTACCAGCAGAGTTACAATCCCTATCCTCGAGGTGGCCGAGGACATTTTTTAGGACCCCGACAGAGCCCAGGCCACAAGAAGAAAAAAAACCAAAGAAACTGTGAGTATTGCCGAGTGTGATACTGATGTGTTTATTCTCCCTCACTCAGTGTTTTATGGACCCGTGAAGATTCTGGGGTAGAATAGGTCTTCAGCAACCCATGCTTGCCGTAAAAGGTGACTATGCTTGTCGTAAAAGGCGACTAATGGGATCGGGTGGTCAGGCTCGCTGACTTGGTTGATTCATGTCATCGATCCCAATTGCGTGGATCGATGCTCATGATATTAATCACTGGATTGTCTGGTCCAGACTCGATTATTTACAGATCGCCGTCATATAGCTGGAATATTGCTGAGTGCGGCGTTAAACAACAAACCAGCCAACCAACAGTGTTTTATGCTGGTCAAACTAAAGACTATATTCATAATTGGACCAATATCACGTCAGACCCTTTTTGTGCTAGACACAGTTAGAGGCTCTCATATTGACCTCCCAGATTCTGCGGAACTGGCGTTACCCATGCCTTGGGTTGTGAAGGTGAATCACAAAGAGGAACAATATGTTAGTGATGAAATTCAAATACTGCTTGACAAGGGTGTTATTGAGCAAACACAGCATAGTGAGGGAGAATGTGTCTCGTCTATATTTACAAATTGAAACTGGATGGGTCATACAGACTAATTCTCAGTTTAAAAGCATTCAACAAACACTAGATCCACGTTGCTGGCACAGATGCTTTAAAACCTGACCCTCGATCGCTCTGCCCAATCACAAGTAAACCTCCAGCATTCCAGTGACGTAGCAGAACTCCAATCAAACTTCAACTTCGAGGTTAGTCTCGTTTAATTTTCGCATTATGGGATATCAAACAGAATGACTAGCAGGAAAAAGCGAGGATATCCTTACATGGAATATCTATTTTAAGAATTTTCTGTGCAGAAACATGGCGGACACGATAAGCTTTCTATTGATGCATAACATGAAAGAGTACGTCAAAGCTGTAGGGGCGTTGTCATTGGTGAAAGTCCAGGTTTTTCCAAGTTGATTACAAACATATTATTATATTATCTCACACATTATGATTTTAATCACGTTTTTTATCTAATAAAAGTTCTAGATATAAAAAAAGTGTTGCATATCCCAATGTACATGTGTCATACATACTTATATATAAATCTTGATTTTTACATATTGAAGCAAAAATTCCATTTTAGGTGCCGTGTCTGGCTTTAACATAAGAGTGAGTGAGTGAGTATGGTTTTACGCCGCTTTTAGCAATATTCCAGCAATATCACGGCGGGGGACACCAGAAATGGGCTTCACACATTGTACCCATGTCGGGAATCGAACCCGGGTCTTCGGCGTGACGAGCGAACGCTTTAACCACTAGGCTACCTGACCGCCCCTTTAACATAAGATGATAATAAATAATTCCATATGTTTTGCAAAAGAACTGAAGATTCAAATTTCAGGGAAGACCATGTCCACCCAATTTGACACAAATGAATCCAGGATACACACAGCATCCTATTGACTGCAAAATGCTGGCAAGTACATAGTCCTGAAACTAATCTGTTGAAGAACTAACATCTGGTGGAGATCCAGGGTATGTTTCATTATAAACTATAAGCTATAAACTGGCAGATTATGGACCAAAACGTTTTGTCTGATCGCAACTGTAAATATATCTGCTTGGCCACAATCAGACTCTGCACTTTAATGTGCCATGACAGTTCATATGTTTTTTTTTGTGTGGATACCTCGTATCACGAAGTATAGTGCTGCTTTGCAAAATTTTGCTTGACTGCGACTTTGCATATATTGCTGCTTAAGTTGTTAAGCATAGTTTATAAAGGCAAACATTATTTCGTTTCTACATATTTCAACCATTGTTACCTCACAATCTATATTTTAAAATTTAGCATTTCTGTCATTGTATTTTTGTATTGCTACATAATACGTAATTTATTGATCTGGTGCATCATGTCCGGATGTTTTTATCATTTGCACATGCGTAGTATTTCTCTGTCAGTATTGGCATCAGCGCATGCTCAGTAATCTCTATCGTCAGGATGTCTATATTCCACGCCTGCGCATCAGTTTGTTTTGCGCGCCATTGTTAGCAGCTTTTTTCTCACGACGTAGCAAAGTTTGCCAGTTTCTTCAAGTCATTCGGCGTGATATTTACCTGCAAGGTTCACAAGTCGTTGTGACCAGGTCCGCTATCAATTGGAGCACGCAATCACTTCACGATGGTGCCTCGTAAGGCCAAAAGAAGTAACTTACGCAAACAGCCCGAAAGCCAAGACAATGGCGCCCAGCCTCAACTGGCTCAAGTCGACGACGATGCAGCCACAAGTCCTCGTAGTACCCACAGGGCCCGCATCCGCTACGCAAGCGATAATCCCGATATCATAGGCACTAATCCGCAAAACTGGTATGTCTCGCAACTCAGGAAGCGCATTTCCGAAGAATTTGGACTTAACAACCTGCCTACCTCTATGACAAAAGCCCAATTGTTGCATTTATATACCAGGAACAGTGCCACATGGCCAACAAATCGTATTCGGCGACTTCCGAGAAGAGTACCTTCAACAAGCAGTGAGGATACTAATGCTGATATGACAAATACGTCACAACTCGGGCCACGGACTGAAACTATCCGTCCATGTAACACTGAAGACACGTCCTCCAATGACAATCAGCAAATGAATTTGGCTGAATTGACCAAAAATGTTCAAGCTTTACAATCTACAGTGACTATGCTTACACAGTCCATCTTGCCGAACAACATTGCCACTGTGACCAATCAGGATGAACAAGACAATAATCCTGTCATCTCTACCATGTCTACGATATATCGACAGCCTTCAGCAGTGAATTCAGGCAGCCATCGACAGTTTACATTGTACACTGCTCTCCAAGGCAACTTAGATTGGACAAGACGTCCAAGTCGTGACCCCAACACGGTACAAAGAATTGACACCATCTCACCAGTCCTACGTCAACAAATCATAGATGGTAAGGATGTCAATTTAGCCTTGTTATTAATGCCTGATGAGATTCAGACCGGCCCACAGACTATCCACATAGCCGGCAATGAAATTCAGCTTAAACCTCAGACTGACAAACGTCTCCATCAGGCCATGTCAATCAATGATTTTATGAATGCTTTCCTGCGATACAAGCGTATTATGACAGAACACACTCCTGGCGTCGGGATGAATTGGACGAATACCAGCGCATCATTATGGGCCTCAGTAATGAAACCAATGACTCGGCTTGGTACACCTACCACAAAATGTTTTCGGCGAAAGCAGCAGCAAGTATTCAACAATTCAATGAACCTTTGGATTGGGGAACACTAGACGGAGAAATCTACCGCAAGGTGTTTACAGCCAGGAAAACCAAACAATGCAACTTGTGTACAGGCATTGATCACCAGGCTGAATTTTGCCCATTGAACACTGATTCTCGTCAGAATGGTATCTCATCCCAGGCCTCCCGCAGTGCAGGTAGACATTATGTAAATTCCCAAACTCATGACATCAGAGGCCGTCTGATCGTACACCACCAAGGACAGA